ACGGACCAGAGGGGCGTACGGGCCAGAGGGCGTACGGGCCAGAGCGGCGTAGGGACCAGAGTGGCGTACGGACCAGAGCAGCGTACGGACCAGAGCGGTGTACGGACCAGTTCAGGATTGTGACCCAGTGACAATAGGGGAGCCAGCAATACTTGTCCCTGTTGGGATGCTGCAAACCTTACAGGGTAGGTTACCAGGGAAAAAAACAGAAGTTGCTGGAAAAGCTCAGCAGGTCTGGCAGGATCTGTGAAGAAAAGTCAGAGTTAATGTTTCGGGTCTGGTGACTCTTCCTCAGAACTGATCCCCCTGAGGAAGTGTCACTGGACCCAATACATTTCTTCGATTTTTTTCCTTCACAGATGCTGCCAGACCTGCTGAGCTTTTCCAGCAACTTCTGTTTTTGTTCCCGATTTACAGCATCCCCAGCTCGTTCAGTTTCCATTAGGTTAGGTTACCATTCTGGTTGGGTGTATTCTCATGTGACGTCCCAGTTCAAAACCCATCCCCCAGTCCTGCTACAGGCTCATCATTCACCCACAAACCCCCCATCCCCTGGCACGCTACCTCTCTGTGTCCAATGAGAAAGTGGAACACGCACTGTTACCCAATGGCATGAATCTTGTTGTTAGCTAAACAGCATCTCACTCCTCATCTCCAACCTTTGAGCTTCAAATGCATTGATGTGTAAGGATCGCAACACCCAGAGTTCCCAACTATTGTTTCATACAGATGTCCCACTCGCTGACTGGAGGTACCAGACTCAGAGGGAGGACTGTGCTGCCTGGAACATCAACTCTCCCTGGACCAGTGTCTCACAGGCAGCATGGCCGAGATACTGGGGGAAAGTGGCTGTTTGTAAAAAGCACCCACACCCCCACCCTCAGCGAGCTGTGATTTGGAATTAAATCTCACCATGGCCGCACCTCCCAAATCACTATATGTTCCTGTGACTCTATAACTCCTCCCACCCCTATTCTGCCATTCCTGTCCCCAACCCTACCACTTCCACATTGGTGGCCACTCCCTGGGCTGGCCTTAAGCTCTGAATCTCAGGATCTCTGATTATATGAATCTCTCCCTCTCTCTCCATTAAAACCCACCTCCTTACTGTTTCTTGGTTTGGTCTTCTCTCCATGCCCCTGTGAAATGCCTTTGAGCATTTAATGTATATTCAAGGCATTGTATAAATGTCAGCAACTTTCTTGAGGAGAATGGGTAGGGAGAATTTGATGTCTCCATGTTAATAGTCTTTTGAAATCACACATCAGACTCTCTGACATGAAGAAACCTTGTAATCACACAAACCTTTACACAGCAAACTCCTCTGTGTGATTCCACATTCCCCACTTCCCCAGGCTATAACTGTATGAGATAATAACCAATTCAAAATTACAAACTCTCCATCCAGTTATGCCGACTGCCAGACTATCATTGTTTCAGTCTGAAGTAATGTAGGTCTGTAGCTGATTCAGGCTGTAATTGTTTTAGTCTGGAGCTGTGTTGTACTGCAGCCGAGTCAGGTCATAATTGTTTGAGTCTAAAGTTACTTTGGTCTGTAGCTGATTTAAATTGTTACTGTTACAGGCTGAAGTTGGGTTGGTGTATAGGTGATCCAGACTGTAATTGTTTCATATGCAGTTGTGTTGGACTGTAGCCAATTCAGACTGTAACTGTTTCGGTCAGAAATTGTGTTGGTCCAGAGGTGATGCAGATTGTAACTGTCTCAGTCAGAGATTGTGTTGCTCCAGAGATGATTCAGACTGTAACTGTCTCAGTCTGAAGTTGTGTTGGTTTATAGAAGGTTCAGACTGTAGCTGTTTCAGTCTGAAGTTGTGTTGGTTTATAGGAGATTCAGACTGTAGCTGATTCAGACTTTCAACAGAAGGCTTTCCTATATGTTGGGTGAGGTATTGATTACAAGAGTAGGTGTATAATACTGGGACTGTGTATCACACACTGGTTATGCCACATCTGGAATTTTGTGTACAGTTCTAGTATTCTTAACAGCGATTATGGGCTTCCTGTAAAGTACAGAAATTTACAAAAATGTTGGCCAGGGCTTCAACATTGCATCACTGAGGAAATCTTGGATAGGCTGGGGGGTGCTGTTTTCCTTAGAATAGAGGACGCCAATGGGTGACTTCATTAACATAATGCGGGACATGGATAGAGTGGACAGTGAAGACCTGTCTCCGCCCTAGCAGACAGCTCAGTTACTGAGGGGATTGGCTGGGGATTAGAGGGGGCACAAGGAGAAACATTGCTCCCCAGAGGGTGGTGGGATCTGGAACTTACTGCCCAAATTGGTGGTTGAGGTGGAAACCCAAAATTTATTTAAAAGGGACTTGGATCTGCCCCATGCAGCACAGGAACCCTGATTGGGGCTAGTTTATTCAGCCAGAACTGACACGATGGGCTGAATGGCCCTTTTCCTATCCTATATCTTCACTTTAGATCCATGGTTCAGACTGCAGTCGATTCAGATTGTGTGGCAGGTGCCTCAGATGATGAGTTGCTTGATTCATTTGGTCTTCTGCTGAGCAAAGATATTTAAAACAGCAGACGTAATGCAACATTTCCTCAGTCTGCATGGTTCCCCCTGTGTCCTGTCACTCTGCGGTTACATCTGCTCTCTCCACGGTCACCAAATTTATTTCCAAACCACCAACAAGATATTTTCAGAATTTATCTCATGATATGGAGGAGAAGAGGTTTTCAAAGCACAAAGACAGAAAATTAAAGGGGCCAAGTGAGATGAGACTGGAACAGAGAGAGAGAAGAGAAGAGAGGGAAACAATATGTGTGTGCGTGTGCGCGTGCGTGTCTGTGTGTGCATGTGTGTGTGTGAGAGAGAGAGAGAGAGAGAGAGAGAGAGAAGTGGTAGGAAGCATAAGATATAGGAGCAGATTTAGGTCATTCGGCCCATCCAGTCTGCTCAGCCATTTGATCACGGTTAATATGTTTCTCAATCCCGTTCTCCTGCCTATTCCTTTAAACTCCTTACTAATCAAGAACACATCTGTGACAATGAGTTCCACAGATTAACCACCCTTTGGCTGAAGGAATTCCTACTCATCTCAGTTCTAAAGGGTCGTCCCTTCACCCTGAGGCTGTGCCCTTGGGTTCTAGTCTCTCCTGCGAGTGGAAACGCCTTCTCCATGTCCATTCTATCCACGCCTCTCAGTATTCTGTAAGTTTCAATCAGGTCACCCCCTCATCCTTCTAAACTCCTTTGAGTGCAGACCCAAAGTCTACAATCTCTCATATGACAAACCCTCATTCCCCGGGATCATTCTTGTAAACTTCCTCTGGACACCCCCAACACCAGCACATCCTTCCTTAGATAGAGGGCCCAAGGTCCATTCCCAGATGGTGGTGGAGTAGCAATGCAGCTTGCAGGCTGCAGGGCCCCTTTATCTCTACTCTCTGCCTTCTGCAGTCAGCCAAACTTCTATCCATGCCAGTACCTTGCCCTTAACACCATGGGCTCTTGTCTCATTTAGCAGCCTCCAGTGCGGTATACTGTCAAAGATCTTCTGGAAATCCAAATAGATCAAGTTCACTGTCTCTCCTTTGTCTAACTTGTTCATTACTTCCTCAAAGAATTCTAACAGATTTGTCAGGCATGACCTCCCGTTGATGAAGTCATGCTGATCTAGCCCTATTTTCCCATGCACTTCCAAGTACTCTGTAATTTCATCCTTAATGATGGACTCTAAAATCTTACCGACAACTCAGGTCAGGCTAACTGGCCTATAAGTTCCCCGTCTTCTGCCTCCCTCCCTTCTTAAACAGGGTTGTTACATTTGCCATTTTCCAGTTCTCTGGGACCCTCCCTGACTCTGATGATTCCTGAAAGATCACCACCAATGCCTCCACAATATCCTCAGCTATTTCCTTCAGAACTCTGGCTTATGGTCCATCCCGGTCCAGGTGATATATCCAACGTTCGATCTTCCAGCTTCCCCAGCACCTTATCCTTAGTGATGGCCACTACACTCTCCTCTGTCCCCTCTCTTGGGGGAACAGTGAATGAGAGACAGGAGAGAGGAGAGAGAATAATAAACAAGTGAGAGAGTGAGAGAGAATGAGACAGTGAGAGAGGGAGAGAGGAGGGACAGGGAACAGTGTGGATGAGAGACAAGGGGGACAGAGTAAATGAGAAAGAGGGAGGGACACAGAAACAGAAAGTGCTGGAGAAACTCAGCAGGTCAGGCAGCATCTATGGAGACACAAACAGAGTGAATGTTTCGAGTCCAGTGACTCTTCATCAGAGAGAGAGGGGGGACAGAGTAAATGAGAAAGAGAGAGTGCACTGTGTGGGAAATTTTATGTGCCCCTTCTCTCGGGCAATTAGGGAAGGACAATAAAGTTGAACTTGGCAGTGAGGCCCAAATTCCTAAGGGCCTATTTCAAGCCAAAATTAGACATAAAGTTGCCAAAATTTCAAATATGGTGACTCCCACTGGCTTCCCAGAGCAGGGAGTGAGGTGGGGCTGAATGGCAAGCCTTGTTCTGCCCCCTCACCCCACCCCCACTGACTGCCATCAGAACCACTCCCCCCTGCCCCAGATTGCTGAGCTCCGTCAGGATGAAATCAGCCCTCAGGAATTTGCCATTGTAACCAGGGACCCGGGTTCAATCCAACCCTCGGGCGACTGTCTGTGTGGGGTTTGCACATTCTCCCCTGTGTCTGCGTGGGTTTCCTCGCACAGTCCAAAGATGTGCAGGTTAGGGTGGATTGGCCGTGCTAAATTTCCCCATAGTGTTCAGGGATGTGCAGGCTGGGTGGGTTAACCATGGGAAATGCAGGGTTACAGGGATATGGTAGAGGGGGTGAGTCTGGGTGAGATGCTCTTTGGAGGGGTCATGTGGACTCGATGGGCCGAATGGCCTGCTTCCACACTGTAGAGATTCTATGAAGGACGCTGTCTGGGGGACCTCGGCCTCACTGTGTGCAGACTTTAACTGCTGCTCCAGACCTAGCTCCCATCTTTCCCACCCTGAGTTATTCATTTCTTATGTAGCTCAGTGCCAGGAGTTTATAATCTCTCCTGTGCAGGGAGCTGAGGTAGCTCAGTTTGCTGGATGGATGGCTTGTGACACAGAGAGATGCCAATAGCGTGGGTTCAGTTCCTACACCAGCTGAGGTTATCACAAAGGAGTCTCCTTTCCTACTTCACCCATCGCCTGAGGCGTGATGACCCTCACCACCAGTCATAGAGGGACGCAGCACGGTAATACACCCTTTGGCCCAACCCATCCATGCTGACCAAATTTCCGAAACTGAACTAGTCCCATTTGGCCCGTATCCCTTTAAACCCTTCCTATTCATGTACCTGTTCAGATGTCTTTTAAATGTTGTAATTGTACCAGCCTCCACCACTTCCTCTGGCAGCTCATTCCATACACACACCACCCTCTGAGTGAAAAAATTACCCCTCAGGTTCCGTTTAAATCTTTCCCCTCTCACATTAAAACCTATGCCCTCCAGTTTTGGACTCCCCTACCCTACCCTGACCTGGGGAAAAAGACCTTGGCTATTTACCCTATCCATTCCACCACATGATTTTATAAACCTCTATAAGGTCACCCCTCAGCCTCCGACACTCCAGGGAAAATAGCCCCAGCCTATTCAGCCTCTCCCTGTAGCTCAAACCCTCCAGTCATGTGGGACTATGGCCATTTGACTTTACAGTGAAGCGACTTGGGGCATGTTACAATAATAAAGGTGCTATCTAAATGTAAGGCAATGAGAGAGGGAGTCAGACATTTGGAGAGAGAGAGAACAAGTGGTAGTCACTTGGAGTGCAAACAATAAAAGCGACAGAAACCAAAATGCAAAAGCCGCAGAAGCTGGGAGGAAGGAATGGAAACAGAAGATGGAAAAATGAACAATGGTGCTGGGGAAAAGTGAGAGCACGAGATAGAGACAGCTCCAGTCTGCATGAGAGGGACAGAGAGACATTTGTAGGGCGAGGGGGAGAATTGCAAAGATAGCAGAGAAAATTACTGAGAGACAGTTCCTCTGTACAAGAGTGAGACAGATAGTTGCATAGATGCAGTTTAGTGAATGAAAAGTTATAGAGATAGGATTATTGAGTGAGAGAGGGAGAGAAACACAGAAGAGTTACTGAGTGAGACAGATGAACAGACAGAGAGGGTAACAGAGCAGGAAGGAGAGAATTACAGAGAGAGACAGACAGATAGAGAGAGAGATCGAGTAAGAGAACGAATGCAGTCGCATGCTTTATGTGAGCTGTTGTTGTAGCTCTCCTGGCTGTGAGCTGTGGTTTAGCTTGCATGTGTGAGCTGGATGCACTGACCAGATAGTGGGACTCAAGTGAACTGAATGCCGCTGGCAAGTCAGTGATATAAAACCTCAGGGTTAGTCCGACATGTGCCTCAGACGTATTACCTCAGCTGGGGTGACTTTTCCTTGGTGTCTGGATTCCTGTTTAGATGCAAATTCCTGACCTGTTTAAAAGACATGCACCTAGATCAACAGCAAACAAAAACAGGAACTGGGATATCTGCAGTGCCCTCATGAACTCAAAATGACCTGAAGTGCTTAACAACCAAATAAGTGTATTTTTTTGAAAGCGTACACTATCATTGCGATGTCAGAAATAGAGGAGCAAATTTGCACTCAGCAAGATTTGAATTCAAAAGTCTGGAATTAAAAGCTAGCCTTGTGCTGACTACTGTCGATTTTTATAAAACCCCTCATTGGGTTCGCTAATGCTCCTCAGGCAAAGGAATCCACCAGTCTGGCCTACATGTGACATCAGACCCACAGCGACGCAGCTGACTCTTAACTATCCTCTGAAATGGCCGAGTGAGGAACTGTATCAAACCACAACAGAGTCTGACCAAAGATATGAAGCCGGATGGACCACCTAACAGTGACCCAGGCACCAGAAACAACAGCAGCTAACACAGAAACCAAAACAGAAATTGCTGGAGAAACTCAGCAGGTCTGGTAGCATCTGTGGTGAGAAAGCAGCGTTAAAGGTTTGGGTCTGTTCTGAAGAAGGGTCACTGGACTCGAAATGTTAACTCTGTTTCTCGCTCCACAGATGCTGCCAGACCTGCTGAGTTTCTGTTTTGGTTTCTGATTTCCAGCATCCGCAGTTCCTTGTTATTTTTCTGTTCAGTGGTCAACAGCTAACACAGCCCTGTTGACCCTGTAAAGTCCTCCTGACAAGCCAACATCTGGGGACCAATGCTTGTCTTCGCCTACAACACACAGACAGCAGCGGTTCAAGCAGGTGACTCACTACCACTTTCTCCAGGGCAACTAGGGATGAGCAATTAACATTGGGCCAGCCCGAACTGAATATCATGAAACCGAGTGTGAGTCGATGACTGGATGGGAAACTTGCTCTTCACTTTGAAGCACCAGGCTGTTTTTTTTTACCTGAATTTGAGAATCATCCCAAGGATCCAGAATTAGAGATTTGACCTTGCTCACATCAGGAATGTTCCGATGAATCCCCGAACATTTTAGGCAAATGAAGATTCCGAGAGTGGTTGAGGCCCATTCAGGTTCTGGGAGACAGAATCCAAAATTAGCACACAGCCGAAACTTCATAATTCAACAAATTCAACAAAATTCAACAAAGTTTAATAGACTCCATTGAGAACAACTCTATGAATGCATCAACACAAGGGGGTGACCTGTTCCAGTCTGGTCAGACACTGTTAAGGTTTGTTAACTGACCCTAAGAGTGTTCTATGGGGACAGTGTAGAGAAAGCTTTACTCTGTATCTAACCCCGTGCTGTCCCTGTCCTGGGAGTGTTTGATGGGGACAGTGTAGAGTGAGCATTACTCTGTATCTAACCCCGTGCTGTCCCTGTCCTGAGAGTGTTTGATAGGCTTGAAAACAGCGTGCTTTATATTGCCAACTTTTAATGTCTGTCTCTGTTCTGAGCATCATATTTGATTGCTTGTTGTTTTTGTAACTAGCGCATGATACAACCCAGAACAACACAGATACCGCAGTAGATCCAACAGTAAGTCGCAGAGTTGAGGAGAAGGTGGAGGGGAGTGGCAGAGCTGCCAAAAATGCCCCTCAGTAGGGACGCCTAGAACCCACAAAGAGTCACCTCCCCAGAGGCCTGCTCAGAGGAAATGAGAGATGAGCATCTGGGAGTGCTGACAAGTGGGCCCCACCTTGGGCTCACACAATTACCTCAGCCTGTCAGGGCAAGTACATGTGTCTGCAGGAGACAAGCTGTAATTGGTCACCCTCCAGGAATGACAGGAATTATGAGCGGATTTACAGTGTACCCATGCCCTCCCAATGCAGCAGGTTAGGCTGATGAGATATTCATTAACCTATTATCAGAGTGAGAAGCAGAACCCTTCAGCCTTACATTTAGAGGCAGACAACTTTCCAATGAGAGTGTAAGAGATTTAAAAAAAAGACATGACAGGCAAATTTTTTTATACAGCGTGGTTCACTTGTGGAATGAACTTCCTGAGGAAGCAGTGAATGCAGGTACAGTTACAATGTTTAAAGGAGATTTGGATAAGTACATGAATAGGAAAGGTTTGGAGGGATATGGGCCAGGAGCAGGCAGGTGGGAGTAGTTTAGTTTGGGATTATGGTCGGCATGAACTGGTTGGACCAAAAGGTCTGTTTCTGTGCTGTATGATGCTATAACACAACAGTGACTATAGGTTTTGTTAACTTATTCTTGGGATGTGGCCTTTTTTCTTATATGTAGAAGGGCTTTTACACACAAGTGAATTTTTTTTTCCTCCATCACCAAATCACATGACATTTATTTTCCCCATCGATTAACCAGCCTCCAGTAAATCTGTCTTGTGGGTCCAGCTGGATATTGTGGGCAATTAAAACCATCAGAAGGTGAGGGAGAGGTGGGGAAAGTGGGAGGGGGCTAAATGGAAGTGGAGTTGGAAGGGGAAATGACACTGTCTCCCTGCGACGCGCAGCTCTCTCTCAATGCCTCGCGAGTATTAAGGGACACCACATGCTCTCCGTCCAAATACACCCAGGCATGAACATTAGCGTGGGAAACAGGCTGGCAGCCAGCACAATCAAATTCCAAAGGATGTGGGCTCAGAGTTGCTGCACCCAAGGCTTGTATGTAAGTGAAAATTATTGGTACATTTACAGATTCAGAGAGTCACATGGCATAGAAACAGGCCTTTCAGCCTGACTCGTCCATACCAATCAGGTTTTCCAATCTAAACAAGTCCCATCTCTCTGCATTTGGCCCATGTCCCTCTAAACCCTTCCTTTCCATGAGCCTGTCTAATGTCTTTTAAATGTTGTAATTGTACCTGCATCTACCACTTCCTCTGGATGTTCATTCTGCACATGAACCACACTCTGTGTAAAAAGGTTACTCCTCAGGTTCCTTTTACATCTTTTCCCTCTCACCTTAAACCTATAAACGCACCCACCCTAGAATAAAGACCTTTGCTGTTCACCTTATGTAGCCCCTAATGATTTTAGAAACCTCTACAAGGTCATCCTTCAGCCGCCTATGCTCCAGGGAAAAAAGTTCCAGCTTATCCAGCCTCTCCTTGTAACTCAAATCCTCCAAGCCCCGGTAGCATCCTTGTAAATCTTTTCTGCATCCTTTCCAGTTTAATAATCTCCTTCCTACAGCAGGGCGAGCACAACTGGACACAGTGCTCCAAAATCTAAAAGGAACAATATTTGCGAGATGTAAATGATTGGACGTTGATCTGATGGGTCCATGGATTGGTGCTTGTGGGGATAATGGCATCATTAGCAAGGCTGGACACTGTTATATAAACTAATGTAGTGATCACACTGAAAAAGAGACTAGACTGATGCCAGGTATGTATTTTCCTAATCAATATGCTCAGAGATGTTATTATCTGGTGGGACTTGAACCCCCTCTGCTTGGTTCAGAGGTATGGACACTACCATGGCACCACAAGAGCTCTTCAGAGTCCAGATACTAAATGTAACAAAACTATATTCACATGCAATACAAGTGAGATGCATGTTATCAAACTAACAGATCCATAGAATCCCCACAGTGTGGAAACTGGCCATTCAGTCCAAAGAGCATCTCACCCAGCTACCCTGCATTTCCCATGGCTAATCCACTTAAACTACACATCCCCAGACATTACGGGCAATTTCCCATGGTCAATCCACCTAACTTGTGCATCTTTGGACTCTGGGAGGAAACCGGAGCACCCGGAGGAAACCCACACAGACACGGGGAGAATGTGCAAACTCCACACAGACAGTCGCCCGAGGGTGGAATCGAACCCGGGTCCCTGGTGCTGTGAGGCAGCAGTGCTAATCACTGAGCCACTGTGCGGCCCCATGTGTGGAAACATGGGGCATTCCCCAATGAATGGCCTATTTGTTCCTCCCCAGAATTCAGCCAGTTGCTGCTTCGAGCCCCTGAGCAGGTGTTTCTCAATGACTCTATGGATAATCCATTATTGAATTGAACCAAGGTGGCGAGATTCATGTCTTTGATCTCAATAGACTCCACCAAGAACACTGCCAACTCTATTGAAGAATCGACATAAGGTCAAGGGGTAGAGGTGGGGAGGTAGGGGGTTTGCATGTTATTGCCTGGTGAAACATTATTAAGGTTTGTTAAGGATGATGTTACGAGTATCAGCTGGTTGGTCTTAATTGTCTTTAAGCCCATTTAAATAGGGAGTCACTGAAGTATGAAATGAGAAATGTAAGACTGAGTCAGTCAATAAACGCTCTCCAAAGCAAGGAAATGTGCTTTGGTTTCTATCTCACCAGCTCACTTGGAATCTATCAACAGGGACGATAGGTTCTGTTAGCTGTTTGGGCGAGCTGTGGTGTTGGGGTTAAGGATTAGAATTCTATCTATAATTGTGAAGTGCAGTTTGCTGTCACGCATGGGAGTTTGCTAAGGATATGAAATCCTCCTAAATACCTCACCTCATTGTCCATTCATCAGGGAAGGAGGTGGAAAGGGGGAGTGTGTCCAGGATGATAGCGGAGAGAGAGTTTGAAAAGCAAAGAGGGATCATGGTCTGATACGTGGATAGATAGCAAGGTTTGAAGAGTATGGTGGAGAGAGAGAGGTTTGAGAGGCGAAGTAACAAGAAAGAGTGTGCTGTGAGTAAATTAAATTAAGTGTAGGTGAGTGTCCAAAGGCAGGAAAGTGGAGTTGAGGATTGTTGGATCAGACATGATCCCATTGAATGGTAGAGCTGACTCTGGGCTGAATGGCTTACTTCTGCTCCTACATCTTATGGTTTTATCTCTGGCAAAGCCAGCTTTTCTTGCTTGTCCTCAATTGCCTCCACTATCAACATGCTGGGGATTGTAATTGACCAGAAACTCAAACTAGATTCACCACATGAACACAGTGGCTACAACAGCAGGTCAGAGGCTGGGAATCCTGTGGTGAGTAACTCACCTCCTGACTCCCCAGAGCCTGTCCACCATCTACAAGGCACAAGTCAGGAGTGTGATGGAATACTCCCCACTTGCCTGGATGGGGGCAGCTCCAACAACACTCAAGGAGGTCAACACCATCCAGGACAAAGCAGCTCGCTTGATAGACACCACATCCACAAGCATCCACTCCCTCCACCACTGACGCTCAGTAACAGCAGTGTGTACTATCTACAAGATGCACTGCAGAAATTCACCAAAGATCCTCAGTCAGCACCTTCCAAACTCATGACCACTTCCGTCTAGAAGGATAAGGGCAGCAGATATATGGGAACACCATCCCCTGCAAGTTCCCCTCCAAGCCCCTCACCATCCTGACATGGAAATATATCGCCGTTCCTTCACAGTCGCTGGGTCAAAATCCTGGAATTCCCTCCCTAATGGTATTGTGGGTCAACCCACAGCACATGGACTGCAGTGGTTCATGAAGGCAGTTCACCCCCACCTTCTCAAGGGGCAACTAGGGATGGGCAATAAATGCTGACCCGACCAGCAACACCTGTATCCCACAAATAAATTAAATTAAAGTTGCCTCTTGAGAAGGTGGGGGTGAGCTGCCTTCTTGAACCGCTGCAGTCCATGTGCTGTGGGCTGACCCACAATGCCATTAGGGAGGGAATTCCAGGATTTTGATCCAGCGACACTGAATGAACGGTGATATATTTCTGAGTCAAGATGGTGAGTGGTCGGAGGGGAACGTGCAGGGGGAGGGGGCTGGTGTTTCCATGTATCTGGTGCCCTTGTCCTATAGAGATATTAGAAGTTGAGGGTTTGGAAGGTGCTGTCAGAGGGAAGGATGGTGAACAGTTTCATTAAGTTGTTTGCTAGCTATGAATCTCTTTGGGATACTGAGAAAAACCAAACAAAAAACTCGCTTCAAAACACAAGTTCTTTTTTGATTCCGTGCAGTCATAATGAGAGAGAGATGGGATCAAAATAACTGATGTGCTCTGGTCGGTGACACAGATGATTCACTGTGCAAACCACAGCATAGTGACACTGAACTGAGCTGTTTGAATGGAGCAAGAAGATTCCTGCAATGTGATAGCACGCTCAGCGCCTCAGGGAGCCAAGTTTAAACTTCC